AAAAAATTGCTTAAAATTCCCTCAATGATCAATTAGTAAAAAGTAATTAATAATTAATTGATAACAAATGAGTGAATTTGAAATATTTTTTATAAAAATAAATACATAATCACCTTTATATGTAATTATTAATTAATTAGTAATTAATAATATCCTAATTTATTTTAAATTGTTCTTTAATTGCATAATTATTAATGAGATTATAATGTATAATTACCCAATTATTTGGTAATTATTAATGAGTAAAAATTAGTATATGATAATTAATTAATAATTGTTAATTGATAAATAATTACTTCCATAATTGGATCTTAATTTACTAAATACCTAATTCTGTAATTACAACTAATTATTAATTAATAATAAATATTATTATTATTTACAAATTACTTAATTCTGTAATTACAACTAATATTAATTAATAATAATTCATATTTTCATTAATATAATTATTAAATTATTAATAATTATTATTTCCTTAAGTGCTGATTATAGCATATTAGTTCTAGTTCATTAATTAATAAAATATTTATTTAAATTTTCATTTAAATATTCATTTACATTTCATTTAAATATTCATTTAAAATAATTTCATTTAAATTTTCATTTAAATATTCATTATATAGCAATTACTCAAGTAATAATTAATTAAATAATTGGCAACATATTTAGCTACGTTATTCAACACCTATTTAATTACCTAATTAATAATTAATTGCATAATTTTCTAATTTGGGCAAAAATTATTCAAACATAATTTGTTAATTTAGTAATTAGCTAACTAATTAATAATTAATGTATTATGTATATAGTTTAATAATTAGTTAATCAGTAATTCATTACCTAAATAATGACTGAGTAATTTGCTAATTAATGGCCTAATTATTAATTTATTAAGTACGCTATTGCTAAATGCTTCTAAATTAAATCATTAATAAGACAAAGAATTAATTATATAATTAAGTAATTACATAATTAATTAGGTAAGTAATTAAATACTTTTTAATAAGGTAATTATTAATTACAAAAATTACAATTAGATTCGCTAATTAGATAAATACCTTATTAAAAATTAATTGTATAATTAATTAATGATCTAATTATTATCAAATTATCTAAAATTTTGATAAATGAATATTGATATTAATTATGTTAATATACTTTATTACCTAATTAATATGCTAATAATTGCCTCTTTAACAATTACTTTATTAATTATTACTAAATTACTTTATTATCTGATTGATTAATTAGCCAATTAACTACCTATTTTTGTAATTAATTATTTATTTACTTAATGATATAATTATCTATATTATTTATTAATTGACTAATTATCTAGTTATCCAATAATTATATACTTTTCTAATTAATTTTTTATCCAATTATCTTAGGTAATTATGTAAACTGTGTAATGATCTAATTAGATTGATATCTAATGAATATCTAATTATCTAATTAATGATCAGATTAGCTCAATGAATATAGAAATACTTGACTACCTAATTAATTATGTCATTTATTACCTAGTTAACATATATCTTATTAATGATTTATCAATTAATTATCTAATTAATTATACGAATAATAAATTATCTGAATAATTATGACCTAAATAGGAATTAATCATTCAACAATTATAAGTAGCAAATAATGCCTAATTAATGATTTATTAATCAATATTTGCATAATTTATTATTAATAAGCAATTACTTATCACATATTATAATATTAATTAATAATAGTCATGTCCCAACATGGTAATTATTATTATCTGGTAATAATTTCTAATTAATTCTTATTTAATCAGTTTTATTAATTTTTTTCTTAATTAATATTTTTTATTAATTATCTCAGTACCATTATAGTTAAAACAGCGTTTTATTATTACTAATTTTAAATAAGTTTTACTTAACAATTAATAATTAGAATATTGAATTATTCAGTATATTAATTTATAATTTTATTTTTAAATTATATAAGTATATTTATTATAAATTATTATAATTATTTATAAATTAATAAGTATATTAATTTATAAATTTATAAATTTATTCAGTATTAAATTTATGAAAGTATTTATTGTATGTAATAGTTTATTGTTATTATTAATCATTAACTAATTATTAATTAATTATTAAAGGAACAATAACTTAGCAATAGAATTATTTTATTAATAATTATTTACTATTATTAAATAGTTATTACTTATTAATTAATCAATATATATTACTTACTGGGACCTTTATCATAACCTAAATATTTCTGTTTTAATATACTGAAATATTTATAATTAGGACTATTATTAAGTAGCTGATAATTAATATTGCGTAATTAATTAATAATTATTAATGGAATGAGTTTTTGCTCTCGCAGCTGCTGCTGCTGCTCGAAGCCACCAGATGGCGCTGCCGGTCCGCGTGTGACACCGTGACACGGGACACTAATAATTAATTATTCTATAAACAATAACTTAGCAATAGAATTATTTTATTAATAATTATTTACTATTATTAAATAGTTATTATTTATAAATTAGTCAATATATATTACTTACTGGGAACTTTATCATAAATTAAATATTATTGTTTCAATATACTGAAATATTTATAATTAGGACGAATATTAAGTAGCTGGTAATTTATATTGGTGGTAATTAATAATTATTAATTAATTATTAATGGATGAGTTTCTGCTCTCGCCGCCGCCGCTGCTGCTGCTGCTCGAAGCCACCAGATGGCGCTGCCGGACCGCGAGTGCCACCGTGAGACGGGGACACCGAGTGAGACACGGGGACAAGGGGTGTGCCACCCTCAGGGACACGGGGAGTGCCACCCTGACACGGGGAGTGCCACCCTGACACGGGGAGTGACACAGGGACACGGGGTGTGCCACGGTGACATGGGGAGTGCCACCCTGACACGGGGAGTGACACGGGGGGTGCCACCCTCACCCAGGGACACGGGGAGTGCCACCTTGACACAGGGACACAGGGACACAGGGTGTGACACCGTGACACGGGGTGTGCCACCCTCACCCAGGGACACAGGGACACGGGGGGATGACACCCTGACACAGGGAGTGACACCGTGACACGGGGACACGGGGTGTGACACGGGGAGTGCCACCCTGACACGGGGACACGGGGTGTGACACCGTGTGACACGGGGACACGGAGTGTGACACCCTCAGGGACACGGGGACAGGGGCTGTGCCACCCCCAGCAAGGACAGGGGGTGTGCCACCCCCAGCAAGGACAGGGGCTGTGCCACCCCCCGCAAGGACAGGGGGTGTGCCACCCTCACCCAGGGACACGGGGTGTGCCACCCTGACACGGGGACAAGGGGAGTGCCACCCTCACCCCAGGACATGCTTGGGGACAGGGACACTGTCAGCCCCGGGGACACTCAGTGGTGTTAGGGACAGACTCAGAGGGGACAGGGACACACTCAGCACAGGGACACACTCAGCACAGGGACACACTCAGCACAGGGACACACTCAGGGACACACTCGGCACAGGGACACACTCAGGGACACACTCAGGGACAGGGACACACTCGGCACAGGGACACACTCAGCACAGGGACACACTCAGCACAGGGACACACTCAGGGACACACTCGGCACAGGGACACACTCAGGGACACACTCAGGGACAGGGACACACTCGGCACAGGGACACACTCAGGGACAGGGACACACTCAGGGACACACTCGGCACAGGGACACACTCAGGGACACACTCAGGGACAGGGACACACTCGGCACAGGGACACACTCAGGGACAGGGACACACTCAGGGACACACTCGGCACAGGGACACACTCAGGGACACACTCAGGGACAGGGACACACTCGGCACAGGGACACACTCAGGGACACACTCAGGGACAGGGACACACTCGGCACAGGGACACACTCAGGGACAGGGACACACTCAGGGACACACTCAGGGACAGGGACACACTCGGGGACAGGGACACACTCAGCACAGGGACACACTCGGGGACAGGGACACACTCAGCACAGGGACACACTCAGGGACACACTCAGGGACACACTCAGGGACAGGGACACACTCAGCACAGGGACACACTCAGCACAGGGACACACTCGGCACAGGGACACACTCAGGGACACACTCAGCACAGGGACACACTCAGCACAGGGACACACTCAGGGACACACTCAGGGACAGGGACACACTCAGGGACAGGGACACACTCAGCACAGGGACACACTCAGCACAGGGACACACTCAGGGACACACTCAGGGACAGGGACACACTCAGGGACAGGGACACACTCAGGGACAGGGACACACTCAGCACAGGGACACACTCAGGGACACAGCACAGGGACACACTCAGGGACAGGGACACACTCAGGGACACACTCAGCACAGGGACACACTCGGCACAGGGACACACTCAGGGACAGGGACACACTCGGCACAGGGACACACTCGGCACAGGGACACACTCAGGGACACACTCAGGGACAGGGACACACTCAGGGACACACTCAGGGACAGGGACACACTCAGGGACAGGGACACACTCGGCACAGGGACACACTCAGGGACAGGGACACACTCAGGGACACACTCAGCACAGGGACACACTCGGCACAGGGACACACTCAGGGACAGGGACACACTCGGCACAGGGACACACTCAGGGACAGGGACACACTCGGCACAGGGACACTCAGAGGTGACTGGCACACACCGTGTGCCACCCCAGGGACACTCCGAGGTGACAGGGACACCCTGAGGTGACAGGGACACACCGTGTGCCACCCCAGGGACACTCGGAGGTGACAGTGACACTCCGAGGTGACAGGGACACACCCTGTGTCCCCCCACGCCCCCCGCACGTACCTGAGCTCGGGCAGAGCCCGCGGGGCCCTGGCGGAGCTCCGAGCCTGGAACGGAGCCGGATTGGAGTCCCCGTCCAGGGCTGCGACCTCGGAGCTCTGACACTGATTTTTCACTGCTTTTATTTTATTTTAATTTAATTTTTATTCATATCAGCATCAGGGAAAGCGAAGGGAAGGGAGTTAGAGGTGTGTGTCATTTTATTATATTTCCGTGGCAGTGACAACAGGGGACAATAGCGACCGGAAGGTTTTTACCCTTCCCGAGCCGCTCCGAGGGCAGGAACGGTGTTTGCCCTCCTCGCATGGAGCCCGCTGTGCCCTCGGGAGAAAAGGCTCCGTTTCCCGGTGCCCTCGGCAGCAAAGGCTCCGTTTCCCGGTGCCCTCGGCAGAACAGGCTCCGTTTCCCGGTGCCCTCGGCAGAACAGGCTCCGTTTCCCGGTGCCCTCGGCAGAAAAGGCTCCGTTTCCCGGTGCCCTCGGAGCACCCCGCGGCGGTGCCAGGCGGAGCTGGCATTCCTGCGGGAGATGCCAGCCTGCCCGCGCTGCCATCGCCAGGCAACGGGAGCTCGCAGCTGGCACCTCCCACCCTGTTCCTGCCGCTATCTTTGGGTGTCGGAGGCACCGCCGAGCACCGGGAAATCGCTGCCACCGAGCGGGCGGGTGACACGGGGACCCTGCAGCTCCTCGGCCCAGCCCAAAAAAAGTTGGGAGGGTTTTTTTTTTGTCACAGCCGAACCGGGAGCCGCTGATGGAAACAAACACTTTTAATGGAGCATATGCGGGTGCCGGAGAAGGAGAAGCCTCCCAATGCATCTGCTGCGGGACCAGAAGGCTCCGCCGAGGTGTGAAGTGGGAGGAGAAAAATCCCGAGCGGATGATGGCAGGGAAGAGTGCAGAAATATTAAACACGTGGAGCTGGGAGGGTTGGCACAAAGAGAATCGGGTTTGGGGATGGCCGCGGTGCCACCCGCAGCCTCCCGTGCCAGGGACAGCGGCACGGAGCTCCCCGTGCTGTGCCCGAGGCAGCCCCGCGGGCTGTCCCCGCCGTGGCACGGAGGGCACAGCTCCATCCCGGGGTCCCTAACAACCCACAGCACCTTCTCCTGGCCCGGCCGGGCGCTGCTTTTCTTTTTCAGCAGCTTCGCCCCGCGGCATGTGCATTTAATGCATTCAATCTGACCTTTGCAAGGCTGCAGTGCCAGGCGGCCCAAGGGGCACCTGCGCTGTGCCTGCACCTGGAGCTCCATGACCGCACGGGGAAAGCTGGAACGGCACGGCACGGCACGGGATGTTGTCACAGTAATGGGACTGAGTGGGGTACAGCAGTCGTGCTTTCCCTTTCAGTACTGAAAGATAAAACACCGTGGGCAGCATCCCAGTGCGGTCATTCCCTGGGCACACGGCTGGCACGGCAGCTGGCACATCCAGCTATCCTGGGTATCCATCCTGGCAGCCCCCGCCGCCGCAGCACATGGCAGAATTCTGCAGCTATAATGAGACAAAGATGTTTGCCCCAGCGAAGGAGCCTCATCAGAAATGGAGTGAGATGTCCCCACGGCAGCAGCTCCGAGGAGCCAATGGCTTGGTGGGAAGCAGTTCCCAGCTCAGCAGCCTCATCCCGAGAAATATGGCACAGCCGCCTCCTTTGCAGGCAGCTCATTACAGGCGCTCCCACTGCTCCAGGAAGATGCTGCATTTTTCAAATTTGATTCCTACACCAATTAGTTTTCCATCTGTAAATGCCTCCTTTATCCTGGCAGCGCTGCGGCTGCTTGAATAGGAATCATTACCGGAGCGGGAATGTCGGGGCTGAGCACAAACGGAGGAGTCCTGCCCGGGATCTGCTCCAGGGGGCCGCGAGCAGGGAAATCCTTCCCTCGGAATCGGCTGGAGCTGAACTGATCAGATCCCAAACTGCACTGGGATCCATATCCACCACTCCCCGGTGGGAAAACAAATACCTAATACTGTTATCATAAATAGAAACAATTCTATTCTGCATAACTTGTGCCATACCTGATAAATCCATATTTTAATTTGGATGACTGACTATTTTTGAGGCTCCCAAACATCTCCTGCACTTTCCAAATTCACCTCCTGCAGTGTGATATGGCAGTGCCCTTGGGAAAGCTGTCTTTAGGTGTACAAATATTTTACTTTTCTATTGTTTCCCTCACTGACACAAACACACAAACCCATAAGTGGGAGCAGCCACGTGCTGGAATACCCCTGGAGTCATCCTGATTATTCCCGGGAAGATCCCAGACCTAGGAAGGAGGTGGAATTAGAAGCCAATTATGAAAGCGCTGCAATGTGCTGGTGAAGAGCTTCAAGGTGGAATTAAAGGTGCTGTGGCGGTGCTGGCAGGGAAACACCGTCCCAGCCAGCAGCAGGACATTCCTGGATCAATCCAGGGCGCTCCAGCAGCAGCACAGCCCCGGTGCCACCGAGGGGTTCTGAGGGAGCAGCACCGGGCTCACGGAGCACAGGACCCGCGCTGGCCGCTCGCTGTCCCGGCAGCTGCTGCGCTGCTCTCCCCGCAGGTATCGCCCGGCATTAGCGCCGCTTCGGCGGCCGCTGCGGGCGAGGAGGGGATGTGCAATTGCGTTAGCCACGCCTCGGCTGCCCGCATCCCTGAGCCTCCGTAAAGAATCAGCTTTGTTCCACAGCTCCATCCTAGGAAAGAAGCGAACACGTCCCAGCCCCGGGAAGCTGCTCCAAAAACTGTTAAGTTTTTCTAGGCACGACACAGCTCTGGTTCCAGAGTGCCACTGAAACAAGTGCACGGCCTCGCTGCCATGCCACTGACCCCAGCCCGGGGAAGGACTCGGATTTGGGGGTTCGGAGCCCCCCTCGCTGGGATCTGCCCCTTTCCTGGCAGCAGCAGGAGCTGCAGAGCCGGAGGGCAGCTCCCGGCTGAGCCCAAACAAACACGGCTTAAAGGAGACTTAAAGGCCCTGGATCTCCCCTTTGCAGCGGGATTAGAGGCTGTTTGTCCTCCAGATTCACAGCAGAAGGAGCGAACTTTAATCTCCTCCAGGGCCTTGTTATCCTCTTTTCCGAGACTCATCCCATCGGATGTGCAGCCTCCCCAGAGGTTCCCATGGGCCCAGGCTGGAGCGGGAATTGCCCTCACCCGCGTTCCCTGGGGGAGCTGCAACGTTTGGGGCAGTTTCAAATCACCAGGACAGTCCAGCAGCTGCTGTGACAAAAAGGTGCTTCCTTCACCCCTCAGCTAGGGGATGTCATTAATTTTCCCAGTGATCTGGTACTTGCCATGGCTAATGACAAGGGAATGGTTAATTCCCATCGTTTTGGTGGAGGGAGAACAGATCAGGACAGAGTGAGGGAAGGGAAGCACATGAGGCACATTCCCATGTAGTTATGTTTGAAGAATCGCAGAGTACGGCGCTTCCGCCCTCTGCAAAGCCACAGAAGATTTCAAAGGGACACAGCGCAGTTCATCCCCTCATTCCACCATTCCCCAATGAAAAACTCCAATGGCAACAAAGCAGGGAACTCGCTGTGCCAGTAGCAGCCCTTGAACGGATGGCTTGGCGAGGGAGAGAAGGGAAGGAAGCACTCAGAGCTCTCATCAGATGCTCCAAAAATTATTTCAGCTGCTAAAAATGCTAAACAAGTTTGGATTTCAAAGGACATGTTCCAAACCCTTCCCCTTTGATAATTGCCTTTTTGGTTTTTAAAGCCATCTGTCATGTATTTCGCTCCAGTCTCGGAGGGGGTGGGATGGGGGATGTGGCAGCTCCCAGCGAGGCTGGGACCCCTCCCAGGGGGATTTGGCCAAGGCTCGGAATGCCAGGCAGGGGCTGGGTTACACGGGGTCTGTGGCAATGGGAATTACCTGGGCTGTGGAAGGCACAGGGTGGCACTGATCCCCGGGGCCGCCGCCGTCCCGCACTGCTCCGGGCTCCGCGTTCGCTCCGTGGGGGAAAACCGCGGGGACTGGGCCGGGTCCGTGAGGGGAAAACCGGGTCCCGTGAGGGAAAAAACTCGTCCCATGAGGGAAAAAACTCGTCCCGTGAGGGAAAACCGCGGGGACTGGGCCGGGTCCGGCCTCTCCGTGAGGGGAAAACCGAGTCCCGTGAGGGAAAACCGCGGGGACTGGGCCGGGTCCGGCCTCTCCGTGAGGGGAAAAGCGGTCCCGTGAGGGAAAAACCGGTCCCGTGAGGGAAAACTGCGTCCCGCTCCTCCGTGAGGGGAAAACCGCGTCCCTGAGGGAAAAATTGGTTCCGTGAGGGAAAAACCGGTTCCGTGAGGGAAAACCACGTCCCGTGAGGGAAAAACTTCATCCCATGAGGGAAAAACCTCGCCCCGTGAGGGGAAAACCAGTCCCGTGAGGGAAAAACCGCGGCCCTGAGGGAAAAACCGGTCCTGTGAGGGAAAAACCGGGTCCCGTGAGGGAAAAACCGGTCCCGTGAGGGAAAACCGTGTCCTATGAGGGAAAAACCGGTCCCGTGAGGGAAAATCGCATCCCGCTCCTCCGTGAGGGGAAAACCGGGTCCCGTGAGGGAAAAACCGGTTCCGTGAGGGAAAAAACGCGGCCCTGAGGGAAAAACCTTGTCCTGTGAGGGAAAAACCAGTCCCGTGAGGGAAAACTGCGTCCCGCTCCTCCGTGAGGGGAAAACCGGGTCCCGTGAGGGAAAACCGCGGCCCTGAGGTAAGAACCTTGTCCTGTGAGGGAAAAACCGGTCCTGTGAGGGACAAACCTCATCCCGTGAGGGAAAAACTTCGTCCCGTGAGGGAAAAACCGGTTCCGTGAGGGAAAACCGGGTCCCACAGGGGGAAACCGCGTCCCGTGAGGGGAAATCGCGTCCGGCCTCTCTGTGAGGGGAAAACCGGGTCCCGTGAGGGTCAAACCTCATTCCGTGAGGGAAAAACCTCGTCCCGTGAGGGGAAACCTCATCCCGTGAGGGAAAACCGGTACCGTGAGGGAAAACTGCGTCCCGCCTCTCCGTGAGGGCACAGCCGCTACTCCGTGAGGGCACAGCCGCTCCTCCGTGAGGGCACAGTCGCCTCTCCGTGAGGGCACAGCCTCTCCGTGAGGGCACAGCCGTTTCCCGCCTCTCCGTGAGGGCACAGCCGCACCGTGAGGGCACCGCCGCTCCGTGAGGGCACCGCCGTTTCCCTCCTCTCCGTGAGGGCACAGCCGGTTCCCGCCTCTCCGTGAGGGCACAGCCGCTCCGTGAGGGCACAGCCGCTCCTCCGTGAGGGCACAGCCGGTCCGTGAGGGCACAGCCGTTTCCCGCCTCTCCGTGAGGGCACGGCCGGTCCGTGAGGGCACAGCCGTTTCCCGCCTCTCCGTGAGGGCACAGCCGGTTCCCGCCTCTCCGTGAGGGCACAGCCGCTCCGTGAGGGCACAGCCGCTCCTCCGTGAGGGCACAGCCGGTCCGTGAGGGCACAGCCGTTTCCCGCCTCTCCGTGAGGGCACGGCCGGTCCGTGAGGGCACAGCCGTTTCCCGCCGCTCCGTGAGGGCACCGCCGCTCCGTGAGGGCACAGCCGTTTCCCGCCTCTCCGTGAGGGCACAGCCGCCTCTCCGTGAGGGCACAGCCGCTCCTCCGTGAGGGCACAGCCGCCTCTCCGTGAGGGCACAGCCGCCTCTCCGTGAGGGCACAGCCGTTTCCCGCCTCTCCGTGAGGGCACCGCCGCCTCTCCGTGAGGGCACAGCCGCTCCTCCGTGAGGGCACAGCCGTTTCCCGCCTCTCCGTGAGGGCACAGCCGCGCCGTGAGGGCACAGCCGCTCCTCCGTGAGGGCACAGCCGCTCCGTGAGGGCACCGCCGCACCGTGAGGGCACAGCGCACCGTGAGGGCACAGCCGCTCCGTGAGGGCACAGCCGGTCCGTGAGGGCACAGCCGCCTCTCCGTGAGGGCACCGCCGCTCCTCCGTGAGGGCACAGCCGCTCTGTGAGGGCACAGCCGCTCCGTGAGGGCACAGCCGCTCCTCCGTGAGGGCACAGCCGCTCCGTGAGGGCACAGCCGCTCCGTGAGGGCACAGCCGCCTCTCCGTGAGGGCACAGCCGCTCCTCCGTGAGGGCACAGCCGCTCCGTGAGGGCACAGCCGTTTCCCGCCTCTCCGTGAGGGCACAGCCGCCTCTCCGTGAGGGCACAGCCGCTCCTCCGTGAGGGCACAGCCGCCTCTCCGTGAGGGCACAGCCGTTTCCCGCCGCTCCGTGAGGGCACAGCCGCCTCTCCGTGAGGGCACAGCCGCTCCGTGAGGGCACAGCCGCCTCTCCGTGAGGGCACAGCCGCACCGTGAGGGCACAGCCGCTCCGTGAGGGCACAGCCGCCTCTCCGTGAGGGCACAGCCGCTCCTCCGTGAGGGCACCGCCGCTCCGTGAGGGCACCGTCATTCCGTGAGGGCACAGCCGTTTCCCGCCACTCCGTGAGGGCACAGCCGCCGCTCCGTGAGGGCACAGCCGCCTCTCCGTGAGGGCACAGCCGCCTCTCCGTGAGGGCACCGCCGCTCCGTGAGGGCACCGCCGCTCCGTGAGGGCACAGCCGCTCCTCCGTGAGGGCACCGCCGCTCCGTGAGGGCACCGCCGTTTCCCGCCGCTCCGTGAGGGGAGAGCGAGAGGTAAGAGCGCCATCTTGTGGCCGGCGCCGCCTGAGGGCGGGAAAGGGACAGGGACGGGGACGGGGACAGTGACAGTGACAGTGACAGTGACCCATGGCACTGCCACCGCCGCTCTCCCGGGCTGTGCCTCCCCAGCCAGCCCAGCCTCAGGCACTGCCACAGCCCCAGCTGCTCTGTGCCCGCTGTGCCAGGCAAAATTCCCTGCCCAAATGCCACCTGAAGTCCCCAGCTGAAGGCCACCAGCACAGCTGTCCCTCAGGGCTCGCTGTGACAGGTTGTGTTTTATCCCCAAAACAACGTGCTGGGAAGGTTTGAGATGTACGAAACGCTTTCCATGTGCTGATGTTGCTGGAAAAATATTTGCTTCCAGCGCTGAGGAATGAGGAGTTTTCCCACTGCTGGGGAAGCGGGACACTGTGTGTGGAAAAACAGGATGTTATTGCCTGATGGTTTTCTTCTGGGGTTAGGATTTCAAATATCACTCGCAAATACTCGTTGGAATGTTCCCAGCAATGTTTGGGGTGATGCTCCTGTCCTCTTAATGTTCCCAGCAATGTTTGGAACAGGATGGGCAGGAATATCCCCAATCCAGCAGGAAAACAGGGAGTGCCTGCTGGGTTTTTTTTCCTGCCATAGAAGGTTGGAAAATCCTTCCAAGACCCCCAAGTTGAACCATTCCCAGCACTGACTGGTGTCCCCAAGTGCCACATCCGCAGGGTTTTTCATCCTGCCTGCTCTCCAAGGTTTTTCCTCACTCTTTCAGGAGGGAATTGTTTCCCTGAACTTCCCCTGGGAAGGAGTTTGAAGGGATTTTGCTCCAAGTTCCTGGTTCTGAAATTGTTGGGGTGCCTCTGGAAATAAGGAAATTTGGGGCTTTGTGATGCTCCACTCTGAGTGCCTAAAACAGGGATGGGGAGGAAGGATCATTCCCATTTCCTTGCTAAAATGAAAGGGAAAAAATAGGAAAAACAGGTGCTTTAAAATTTTCCAAGGCGCAAACCAAATGACAAAACGCAGGAGCATTTCATTGTTTGAGTTTGGAATAAAAGACGGATAATTAGGAAATTGGGAGTTGGGTTTGTAGGGAATCCAGCAGTCCTTCCCACACACAGGGTGTGACTCCTGGGACAGCAGCAAACCCAAAAACAGGAGAAAATCCCATGGGAAATCAGCGGTTCCCCGTGAGAGGAACGCACACCGTGAAATCAAGTTACAAATCCTGGGAACCCTTCCCTCCTGCTGGAATTTGGGGCTGTACAAGAGCCAAGTCCCCGGACATCAAAGCGTTCAGAAATGAAAATAAAACCCTCTCTCGTGGCGCTGTAGGAAAGGGGATGGGCTGTGGAGAAAACCTCTTCCCGAGAGGAATTTCCCCCCGTGGAGCTGCTCTGAAAATGGTCCTGTAAGGGCAGCAGAGCCCAGACTCTGAAACTGGGTCCTTTGTTCTTTATTTTACTGCAGCTTCAAAGTGCAGAGCTTTGGGGCTAAAAATAGCTCAGCTGTTCGAGCGGTGATTTGGTCTTGGGGAAAAAAAACTTTGATTTCAATCGGCTCTTTGAACAGCTGTTTGAAATGACAGTTTTAAAAGAAAGTTTAAAAACCCCTCAATTTACCTGAAATAAATCCCTGGAGCCAGAGGGGTGGGAATGGCAGGGAGGGAACCCTCGGTCCTGAAATGGAACGAGCATTTGTTATCCTTAAATGCATTAAACTCCCAATTAAAGAAATGAATCTGTGCTCACAAATGCAAATTTGTTCTTCCAGCCCGTATTTGAGGGAAAATTCCCATTTTTTCCCTGTCTGGCCCCTCAGCTGGGGGATGAGCTTGGGCAGACATTATCCATAAAGCTGCTAATCCAATCCAGCCCTTCCTACAGCAGGATTTTTTTCAGGATATTTTCTATTTTCATCCCGTGATCCCATGTAATACATAGTCTTGGCATTTCTTATCGCTTCCAACCATGCCTTTCACCATTTTTTTAATGTTTGTTCCAAATTTCAGGGCTGTGCATCCTTTTTGCCTCAGACCAAAAGCCTATCGCCCGTTCTCATCATTTTAATTAAACGGGGGCCAAGCCAGGGCAAATGTTTGATTTTGATTCCAAAGGTGGATGCAAATCAACAATTTTATTTGAGTGAGGATGGAAAAGGTTCCTCACTACATCCTTCCTGCAAATGAAAGCTGAATCCCACCTTCAATGGAACTTCTCCTGGATCCAATGTTTGTGCAGGCCGAGTGGATTGGAGTTATTTATTGGGAGCGTATTTTCCCTGTAATTTGGATGTAATGTTCCCCCAAAAGCCATTCAGGCAAAATCTCTTTTTAACTGTGCCTAATTACGGATCCCGCACCAAAACCCGGAGCAGCCAACGGAATGTTGATTGTTTCCCTCGCAAAGGGGAAAAATCATAAATTCTTTCTAATGGGATCTTTAATAATAAAAAAGAACATAATCATTACTACCCAAAGACGGATGGCTTCCATGGGGCTTCCTCACCGGCATTTTGTCTGATTCCATCTCCGCTGTGCTCGCAGCATTAATTATTGGAGACTAATTAGGCAAAATTGCGATGGAAACCCAAACCATGAACTCCTCTGAGTCCTTCAGCCCCGTGGCGTGCATACCACACGTGTGTCCCACATGTGTGCCACATGTGTGACATTCCTGTCAGGCCCTGATTCCTCAGAGCCGTGTTTGCTCAGCCCAGACACAACCCAGACTGTTTCCCTGGGAAACAGGCTCTGGAATATTCCCAAAAAAAAGGAATCAGCGCTTGGAGCTGTGTCCTTTCCCAGCAAAGCCCAGCTGAAGTTTGCCTTGCCTTTTTTTTTGCCTTTTCCTCACCATCCACCTGGGGATTCCCCATCATTGGAAGATGAATTTGTGTGCAGCTGTCTGACCTTAATAACTCTCTCTTAATCATGAAATGATTTGTTAACGATTGCAGTGATCTCTGCTGCCATTTGGGCCCTTTCCTCTGGCATTCCAGCCTTGGAATTCCAGAGTTCCAGGAGCCCTGAGCTCCCCTGGGATCTGCTGCCCTGTGCTGAGCTCTCCTCCCTCCTGAGCTCCGTGTGGAATTCATTAAGGGAAAAGGATGAGGAAAAGGTTTCTCTGCTGGTTGTGGGGGCTGATTTTCCTTTTTTGGGGTGTGTAACAAATATCTGGGACGGTGACGAAGTGGAGAACGGGATAAGCACCATCTCGGCTGCTTTCCCCCTCATTACCTAAGCAGATTAACGGCTTTGGGTTTGAAAAGTCCACTCACTCTCTCCTCGGCGGGTATTTAGAGGGTGTAATTCCCGATTAAGTTTCCCTGCAGCTTCCCGGGGAGCTGAGATCCCTTCAGGCTGCTGGAGATCCCTGTCAGATGTGTGCCACAGCTCGGAGGAGCCTTAATGGGATTTACATTGAGTAATCTGCCCCCAAGCTGCTCCATCGTGTCTGTAAAATAATAAAGAATAAAAGTAAAGTGTTGGGAGGGGGAGATAAAATCACTACATGTGGATTTTTCAGTGTTCTAGCACCAGGGCCTAAAACTTCCCTAAATCCAATTCTAATTCTTAGATCTGCTGTTTGTTCCTGGAGTTTTGGAGCTGCTGGGGAAGAAGAAGTTCCACCTGCAAGTCCATTCCTTGATCCCTTCAACTCTTCCAAGCGCATTCCCAAGGTGTCGTCGTGGAAAGTCTGGGAGGAAAAAGTTGAGTTTTGATGCCTCTGATCAGGAGCGGATTTTGGGGTGAGGATGGAGCTCTGTGGGTGCAGGGCACGGGCAGGGTGCTGGAGGGTGCTGGGCACCCATGGGTGCGGCGCTGGGAGCGGCGCCGTCGCACACACAGCCAGATTGGCCGGCAGATGGTACATCCCACTCTCGGAGAAATATTTGAAAGGCCAACAAAATACAGCAGAAGCCATTTGACAGCCCACATGGCTCGGCAGGAATTAGCCGGGCAGAGACACCCAAACATTCCCACATTTCCTAGGGAGCAGAGGGAAATTCCCGGCCCTCTGTGCCCTGGGCAGTGCCAGGAGTGCCAGGTTGGCATCCAAGCTGAGCTGCCCACGAGGGAAAAGGGCACAGGTGAAATAAAGAGCCAGGGGGATGCTCCAGAGCCTGGCAGAGGAGAAGCTCCAGGAGAGCTGAGGGGGATCCAGGCATGGCACTGCTGGCACAGCGTGCCCACAACCAGCTGAAGGCATCCCATCAGTGCCCTCAGTGTGCCAGGCACGGGTTTGGCACAACCTCTGTGCCACCTCCTTTGCCTTTTCCCTCTCTGCTGCCCGCGAGTACAACCCAACAACTGCTGACTGGAACGTTTCTATTGTGGGGTTTATGCTAAATATGCATATCTTAATTGCATTAGTCAAAATAATTAGCTAATATATTTTTGCATAATGACGAGGTAAGCAAATATCACCAGAGCTCAGCGCTTCGTGCCTGAGTAAATTTGGGAAATTAATAGACTCCCAATTTCCTAATTATCCGTCTTTTATTCCAAACTCAAACAATGAAATGCTCCTGCGTTTTGTCATTTAGTTTGCGCCTTGGAAAAATTTTAAAGCACCTGGTTTTCCTATTTTTTTCCCCTTCACTTTAGCAAGGAAATGGGAATGATCCTTCCTCCCCTGGGAGTCCCTAAATCCAGCAGGAACTCCCTGTTTTCCTGCTGGATTGGGGAGATTCTGGGAGTCCCTAAATCCAGCAGGAACTCCCTGTTTTCCTGCTGGATTGGGGAGATTCTGGGAGTCCCTAAATCCAGCAGGAACTCCCTGTTTTCCTGCTGGATTGGGAAAATGTGGGAATTCCTAATCCCAGCAGGAACTCCCTGTTTTCCTGCTGGATTGGGGAGATTCTGGGAATTCCTAAATCCAGCAGGAACTCCCTGTTTTCCTGCTGGATTGGGGAGATTCTGGGAGTCCCTAAATCCAGCAGGAATTCCCTGTTTTCCTGCTGGACTGGGGAGATTCTGGGAGTCCCTAAATCCAGCAGGAACTCCCTGTTTTCCTGCTGGATTGGGGAGATTCTGGGAGTCCCTAAATCCAGCAGGAACTCCCTGTTTTCCTGCTGGATTGGGGAGATTCTGGGAATTCCTAAATCCAGCAGGAACTCCCTGTTTTCCTGCTGGATTGGGGATATTCCTAAATCCAGCAGGAATTCCCTGTTTTCCTGCTGGATTGGGGAGATGCTGGGAATTCCTAAATCCAGCAGGAACTCCCTGTTTTCCTGCTGGATTGGGGAGATGCTGAATGTCCCTAAATCCAGCAGGAACTCCCTGTTTTCCTGCTGGATTGGGGAGATTCTGGGAATTCCTAAATCCAGCAGGAACTCCCTGTTTTCCTGCTGGATTGGGAAAATGTGGGAATTCCTAAATCCAGCAGGAACTCCCTGTTTTCCTGCTGGATTGGGGATATTCCTAAATCCAGCAGGAATTCCCTGTTTTCCTACTGGATTGGGGAGATTCCTGCCCATCCTGTGCTGCTATCTGCACAGACAGGGAGGAAAACAACTCCCCACACACACACACGAATTCTCAGCCCCAGCTGGGATCTCTCAGCTATAAAAACAACAGCGACAAACCCAAAAAAGCCCCCCCAAGAGCCAACCCCTCAAAGCTGGGGGAAAGACAGTAATTCCCACTGCAATCTGTTCTTTTTTCTGCTGCCTGGTTTATTATTAACCAGCACTACTCCTGATTTCTCGTGGCAGGAACGTCTGGGGTTGGAAGTTGTGTGTGAGGTGTTTGTAGGGGGAAGAGGGGTGGGTTCCATCTCATTTTGGGAGCATTTCTGAGCAATTCCATATTTCTGCAGGTGGATAACAGCACTGGGCAGGACAGGATTGGGGCTGCAGCTCTGGCAGAGGTGACAACAGCTCCGGGAGAGGTGACAGAGCAACGAGGAGCAGGACAGGGGACACAGAGCTGGAGGATCCTGAGGATGGCTCATTTTATGCATAGGTGACTCTGGCAGACACGTCTCGTGCTCTACTTAGCATTTCGCCTCCCTTGCCGCCGTGGCATGTGCGGGCACAGATGGCACCATTTATCTTTCATTCCCTTCCCCACTGGCAGGACGTGGGACACGGGACAGTGCTCCAGACAAAGCTCCTCTGGGAAATGCTGTCCTGAGCAGCCCAGAGCCACCTGAGCCTGGGGACAGCCCTAAAACACACATGGTGCTGTATATAACACCCCGTTACATCTCCCAAACTCTGCAAATTAACCACTAATTTCCCTACAAATTGGATAACTCCATGAAGGCATTTACCCACCTTAATTAAAGCAGCAGCCCTGCCTCATCCACCAAAGTTTTCAAATATTACACTCAATTATACTTATAAATCTTGTCCAGGTAATGAACATATTCTTTGGATTGCAGAAGAGCTGGACACTTATCTTACTCCTAAAGATAAACCTCCACATCCATATAATGCATTGCTAAGCCTCCCTCTTCCCGGCCGGAATCCCATTTTCTATTAAATAATAATCACTGTAATTAATAGACTGGTTATTTTATCTCCCTAATCTGGTTACAGCCATTTATCAAAGGTATGTAAATGAGGGCGGCAGAAAGCCGTTCATTATGATTTTCCAAAGGGCCCGTGTCTCTCGCTGGAGCATGGAAAATGTAATTCTCTTGAACTTAATAAGATACTTGACTTCGTGTCATTCCTGGGAAGCAAATCCAGTCAAGATTTGCCTTTTTTTTTCCTGTCACACTCGATTTGTTTGAGTCACAATTGTCCATCAGCTGAGGCTGTTTCCCACGGGGTCGGGGGAAGGGCATTCCCATGGTTTTCCCTCGGTCTCTGCCACAAAATTCAACACCAAGGGTAAAAACTTCTTTTCCTTCACTCCTCCATTGGATTCAACAGGCAAAAATCACAATTTTTTTTGGGGTTTCCCCCACTCACCCTTCGCAGATCCCACTCCAGCACCTCGTGGAGGCCGTAGAGCTCAGGCACATCCCAGCTCCTAGACAAGGAACAGAAATCATGTCAAATTATCACAGCTTTCCTAAAAATCCTAAAATATTGCTTCCATAATTCAGGCTGAGGCAGAGAATTACATTCTCTGAGATTAGACAAGAAGTTCAAATTTCTGGTCCAGATAAATCAAATTTCCTTCAAGCAGTTTAACAGCTGCACCAAAAAAAAACCCCAAAAAACGGGAGGAAAAAGCAGAGAGAAGTGAAGACATCCATTTTCTGCAATCAGTGGCAGGTGCAAGTCAAGGGCATGGCCTTTAGCAGGACCCCGGGCTTGGCCACAGCTCTGCTAATTAATCATGCAGCAAAATGCACTTGACAGATTGGAGAAGGCTCCGATTCCTTCTCTCATGATTGCGCCGCTAATTCGGAAGTTCTGCAGAGCAGCAGAGACTTGGGAGAAGCTGTCCAGGGTTGGGGTGCAGAGCTTTCAGCCTTTTGAGGTGCTTCAGGCAGGGTCAGAACCCCCCTGGACAGAGCCCCCAGAGACACTGGCTGTGATCTCTGTCCATGGAAAAGAGTTTTCAATCTTACAGGATGAATTACAAACTCTGAGTGTTTGATATCAGTAATAATTAAGTGCAAAAGTAAAATTTTAGGGTTCTAGATTAGGGGTTCAAAGGGGACAAGATGGAGGAAATTGGGTGTGCCTTGTCCTTTTCCTCCTTCTTCATGTTTCATTGTGGTGTTGGCATTTTTCTGTTGGTTCAGGCTGGGGACACACTGTCCAACGTAGGTGACAGATATTGGCACATTATTGTAAATATAGTACACGTAGTTTTAAATATATAATATTTGTAACATCCCACTGAGGGGTGTTACATTGGCACATTATTGTAAATGTAGCACAGGTAGTTTCTGGTATATAATGTTATATTGGCACGTTATTGTAAATCCAGCACAGGTAGTTTTTAATATATAATGTTTGTAACATCCCACTGAGGGATGTTACATTGGCACCTTATTGTAAATATAGCACAGATAGTTTTAAATATATAATGTTTGTAACATCCCACTGAGGGGTGTTATATTGGCACGTTATTGTAAATATAGTAGAGGTAGTTTTTAATATATAATGTTTGTAACATCCCACTGAGGGGTGTTATATTGACATGTTATTGTAAATGTAGCACAGATAGTTTGTGGTATATAATGTTTGTAACATCCCACTGAGGGGTGTTACATTGGCACGTTATTGTAAATATAGCACACGTAGTTTTTAATATATAATGTTACATTGGCACATTATTGTAAATATGGCACAGATAGTTTCTGGTATATAATGTTATATTGGCACATTATTGTAAATCCAGCGCAGGTAGTTTTTAATATATAATGTTTGTAACATCCCACTGAGGGGTGTTACATTGACACGTTACTGTAAATCCAGCACAGGTAGCTTGTGGTATATAATGTTATATTGGCACGTTATTGTAAATATAGCACAGGTAGTTTTTAATATATAATGTTTGTAACATCCCACTGAGGGGTGTTACATTAGCACGTTATTGTAAATATAGCACAGGTAGTTTCTGGTATATAATGTTACATTGGCACGTTATTGTAAATATAGCACAGATAGTTTCTGGTATATAATGTTATATTGGCACATTATTGTAAATCCAGCACAGGTAGTTTTTAATATATAATGTTTGTAACATCCCACTGAGGGGTGTTATATTGGCACGTTATTGTAACTATAGCACAGATAGTTTCTGGTATATAATGTTATATTGGCACGTTATTGTAAATATAACACAGGTAGTTTTAAATATATAATGTTTGTAACATCCCACTGAGGGGTGTTACACTGACACGTTATTGTAAATATAGCACAGATAGTTTTTAATATATAATGTTTGTAACATCCCACTGAGGGATGTTACATTGGCACATTATTGTAAATGTAGCACACGTAGTTTTTAATATATAATGTTATATTGGCACGTTATTGTAAATATAGCACAGGTAGTTTTTAATATATAATGTTATATTGGCACGTTATTGTAAATATAGCACAGGCAGTTTTAAATATATAATGTTTGTAACATCCCACTGAGGGGTGTTACATTGGCAAGTTATTGTAAATGTAGCACAGATAGTTTCTGGTATATAATATTTGTAACATCCCACTGAGGGATGTTATATTGACACATTATTGTAAATATAGCACAGATAGTTTTTAATATATAATGTTTGTAACATCCCAGTGAGGGATGTTATATTGGCACGTTATTGTAAATATAGCACAGATAGTTTCTGGTATATAATGTTATATTGGCACATTATTGTAAATATAGTACAGGTAGTTTTTAATATATAATGTGTGTAACATCCCACTGAGGGATGTTACATTGGCACCTTATTGTAAATATAGCACACGTAGTTTTTAATATATAATGTTTGTAAAATCCCACTGAGGGGTGTTACATTGGCACCTTATTGTAAATGTAGCACACGTAGTTTTTAATATATAATGTTATATTGGCACATTATTGTAAATATAACACAGGTAGTTTTAAATATATAATGTGTGTAACATCCCACTGAGGGCAGAGCCCCACACGCTGCCCTGCAGGACAGAGCTGCAGAACATGTTAGAGATAAACAGAATAAACAACCTTGAAACCAGCACAGATTAATTATGATTTCTTCTTTGGCAGGGGGGCTGACAGACAGAGACTTTCTACAACCTCAGAATCATCAATACCCACAGATTCCGACACCCCCGGAGCTGGGACCTCTCCCTGGTGTTAATCTCTGCCAGGTTCCTCTCAGGAGCAGGAGGAGCTCAGATGTCCCCTGGAGCAGTGAGGATCCTGTGTCCCCTACAACTCCTGGAAAAAAGGTCAGTGTCACACCAAGAGGGGCAGCTGAGGGGCAGAACCAGGCAGGGACCCCATGTGTGCCCACAATCCCCCAGCCCAGAACCCCCATGAGGCTGAGAGCAGCTGAAGCCCACCTGCCCCCTCTCCCTCCCCGCAGCGGCTCTCGGGGCTGGCACATGGCACTGCTGCTTTATGTAAGGCTGGCTGCAGCTGCTATTTTTAGCCCCGTTAATAAAAAGGATTGTTCGTCATTAGAGCGGCTTAGCGGCGCCGAATCTTCGGGGGAAGTGAGGTGATCCATCCCACTAATCCCGCAAAGTCCCTAAATCCCGCTCCAGTGAGTGTGCTGGAGGTTGAGACCTCTGCCTTCCTTCTCCACTGCTTTTTGGGATGGCAGATTTTTTGGCTGTGTTCCTATTTACCTCCCAAACCCAAAACAAACCCTGCACCACCTAACCCAGAGCTCACCCAAACCCCACAGCACGTGGGGACATTCCCAGTGCATCCCTGCGCCTCCCAACCAGGATTAAATTAGGATTACATTTCCCAGCCTCTAAAAAACCCCAGGGAAGGATGAACTATGGGATTAACAGTCTGGGGAAATCTGCTGGGTGCTGTAAAATCTTGGAGATTTTGGGAAATTAGGAGTTTGGAGTGCTGCAGAGTTACAGCTAAACCCCTAATCCCTCTGATTCCCAAATCCCTGTGAAGAGCTGCAAGGTGCTGCAGGACCCCATTTCCCAGAGCCCTGTGGGTTGTTATATAGGGTTATAGGGGGTTATAGGGTTATAGGGTGCTGCATTTCCCCGTGGGGTGTCCCTCCACGGGTGGGCAGCAATGAGAAGCCTTAAACCCCTATAACCCTATATAACAATATATATGGATGGGTGTGGATGGATATGGATGGGTGTGGATGGATATGGATGGATATGGATGGATATGGATGGGTGTGGATGGGTATGGATGGATATGGATGGGTATGGATGGATATGGATGGATATGGATGGATATGGATGGATATGGATGGATATGGATGGATATGGATGGATATAGATGGATATAGATGGATATAGATGGATATGGATGGATATGGATGGGTATGGATGGATATGGATGGATATGGATGGGTATGGATGGATATGGATGGGTATGGATGGGTATGGATGGATATGGATGGGTATGGATGGATATGGATGGGTATGGATGGGTATGGATGGACATGGATGGGTATGGATGGATATGGATGGATATGGATGGATATGGATGGGTGTGGATGGATATGGATGGGTATGGATGGGTATGGATGGATATGGATGGATATGGATGGGTATGGATGGATATGGATGGGTATGGATGGGTATGGATGGACATGGATGGGTATGGATGGATATGGATGGATATGGATGGGTATGGATGGACATGGATGGGTATGGATGGATATGGATGGGTATGGATGGATATGGATGGGTATGGATGGGTATGGATGGATATGGATGGATATGGATGGATATGGATGGATATGGATGGGTATGGATGGATATGGATGGGTATGGATGGATATGGATGGATATGGATGGATATGGATGGGTATGGATGGGTATGGATGGATATGGATGGGTGTGGATGGGTGTGGATGGATATGGATGGATATGGATGGGTATGGATGGGTATGGATGGATATGGATGGATATGGATGGATGTGGATGGATATGGATGGATATGGATGGGTATGGATGGATATGGATGGACATGGATGGGTATGGATGGATATGGATGGGTATGGATGGATATGGATGGGTATGGATGGATATGGATGGATATAGATGGATATGGATGGGTATGGATGGATATGGATGGATATGGATGGGTATGGATGGATATGGATGGACATGGATGGATATGGATGGATATGGATGGATATGGATGGGTATGGATGGGTGTGGATGGATATGGATGGATGTGGATGGGTATGGATGGGTATGGATGGATATGGATGGGTGTGGATGGGTATGGATGGGTATGGATGGACATGGATGGGTATGGATGGGTATGGATGGGTATGGATGGATATGGATGGATATGGATGGGTATGGATGGGTATGGATGGGTGTGGATGGATATGGATGGATATAGATGGATATGGATGGATATGGATGGGTGTGGATGGTGTGGATGGGTATGGATGGGTATGGATGGATATGGATGGATATGGATGGGTATGGATGGGTATGGATGGGTATGGATGGATATGGATGGATATGGATGGGTATGGATGGATATGGATGGATATGGATGGATATGGATGGATATGGATGGCTATGGATGGGTATGGATGGGTGTGGATGGGTATGGATGGATATGGATGGATATGGATGGATATGGATGGGTATGGATGGGTATGGATGGGTGTGGATGGGTATGGATGGATATGGATGGATATGGATGGGTGTGGATGGGTATGGATGGATATGGATGGATATGGATGGATATGGATGGATATGGATGGATATGGATGGGTGTGGATGGTGTGGATGGGTATGGATGGGTATGGATGGATATGGATGGATATGGATGGGTATGGATGGGTATGGATGGGTATGGATGGATATGGATGGATATGGATGGGTATGGATGGATATGGATGGATATGGATGGGTATGGATGGGTATGGATGGATATGGATAGATATGGATGGATATGGATGGGTAAAAACGGGGAAAACAACAACCATTGTGTTTTTCCTTGGAGGTTCCCTTAAAAGGTTTCATTTATATTTTTAACAACGAGTTAATTTTTTTCTTATTTAAAAAAAAATTAATCAGCTGTCAATGCCGCAAATTTAAATTCTCCATTCAGAAATATTTAATAATCCCATTCCAGAATAATGCATTAAGGAGGAAAAGAAGCCACCACGTGGCTTTGGTCTGCCTGGAGGACTGGCACTCGAATTCTCCAGATGAAAGGCTCCCACTTTTATCCCTGAAACTAAAGGACTTGAAGGTAATAATTGGCTCTTCAGAGGAGCAGAGCCCAACAATGTCCTTCACTGCCTCTCGAGCTCTCTCCTGCATCTGTCTCCTGTTCCCTGCTTTGTAGAATTAAATTAAATAATGGGACCTAGATCACAAAAATATTCTCATTTTACACTTTGCTCCAAATTTAATTTCCAGATGGCTGAGGGGAAGGAGAGCGGGAGGGGACCGTCCCTCCCTTTATCCGGATTGCACAAAGTGCTGTCCCCAAAACCCGTGTGAGGACACAGGGCTGTTTTTTATCCCCAAATTGGGATTTTTTTCCTTTTTAATCTGGATAGGGAGTGAGGCTCAGAGTCAGAGGAGTTGGGCTGTGCTGATGGGTCCCAAATGTCCCCAACTCAGCCCTTCCTACCTGGTGTGGGCATCGGTGGCTGTGGGGCACTCAGGATGTTTTTCTGGCAGCACATCTGGAACATCTGGACCTGTGTGCACAAAAAACATCCAACATGAGCATCAAGGATTGCTCCCAGTCCCTCTCACTGACCCTTTAAACACGGCTGGTAACCAACAGAGGAACAGATTTTTATATTACAAGATTTTGACAGCTCTAAATCCGAATTCCCTCCGCTCCGCTGCTTCTATAATATCCTTTGATTTCTCCCAAGCAATCTGATGGCATGTGAAAGTCATTCTTATTTTTACCCTCCTTCTCCATATGAAAAAAGAAACGCAGTCCATTTGCTGTGAGCTCCTCAGCATCTGCTGATTTGTCAGTTTGATTTAGCTGAGAAACATTCACGGTGGCTGCACAGAATTCCTGCTCCTCTCCCGACGGAGCCACGCTGAACTTCCCGGGAATTCTGGAAAGCTCCAACCCTCCTCGGTTAATTCCAGAAAAAATAAATATAAAACCTAAAAGAAATAGATATATTTCCCTTCGCATCCGTGCTTATTAAAGCCAAAAAAATGCAAGCTGGCCTTTAAGCCTTCAATTAATTGAACAAAGATTTCAAAATCGTTCAATTGGTTTCATTAGGAAGTGTATAATAGAATAATAAAGTAAAACAAATGATATAAAGCAGACCCACTAATTAGCTCTACATGATTGATACAGCTTTGGACGAGGCATTTGATCTCAAACAAAATGCAGTTCCTTGTTAAGAGGATTTTTAATTGATGTGCAGAGAGGTATTAGATGATGTTGGAAAATAATTACTCCAAAGCTACTCATGCATTTGGCTGAACATAACAAATGAAGTTTGGGCTCCGGATCTGGCGGAGTGGACACGTGCTAATTAATAACGAAGAGGAACAAGCATCTTCCAGGGGGTTTAACCCAGTGTTTACCAGGAGATTGCATCGCAATTATGCTCCATAATGAGCTTGTCATGCCGCCGAAATTTGCATTATTCAGATGTCAGCGGGGATGGAATTCCACCAGGGAGTGGGGATGGATCCCCAAAATCTGCCAGAGCGGGTTGGGGTGCCCACCTTGGCACTGTGGGCAGGTTGTGCCACCCTGGGTGGGTATTTGGGAGCTCCACACGATGCCCAAATTCTCACTTCCCCGCCGTGGTTTTCTATTTAATGAAATATGTGTTTGGTGGGTGAGAGGTTTATTTTTAGAAGAAGACAGAGAGGATTTGGTGAGCTAATTAAGAGTTTGAGAAGTTTCCCAGAGAAACGAGAAAGGCCCAAACTCGCTCCTCGTTTGCCGCCTCCTCCTCCTCCTCTAATTTATAAATCTGTTAATTAATGGTGTTTATTCTCCTCCCAGCCCAGCCTGAGCCGTGGTTTGGTGATTATATGATTAGGCAGCGATGATAACGCATGTGGGAAAAGGTATTTATTGTGTGTGTGGGTTCCCCATCGCTATGGAAACAGGTAAATATTTATTAATTAACTCCCCTATTATATAAAGTCTGCATGGGAGAATTCCCATTTTTTGGGATGTTCCACGGGCAACAATTCCAGGTATAATTCCACAGGTGAGTGTGGGCAGCAGGTGCCTACCTGGGTGTCCCCATCCCTTTGGAAATTTGGGAACACCAACCTTGTTTTGATGTTTGGTAAATAATATTTAAATAATACCATGGGAGGTAATTCCTGGAGCTGCAAAACAAAAATCAATAAAAAACATTTATTATCAATTGGCAAAGCAACAATACACACTTCACACAAAATGTGATTTATGGGGAAAACATCCAGTAAGCAAAAAAGGAATTTTTATTGCTGTCCTGCTTTGGTTATGCTTAACAGCCAGGAAAATATTATTAATTAACATTAATTTAGCAGTTGACTATCTATATTATCTATATTATTTACCTATTATTGATAGGTAAATAATGAGCATCTCTCCCACCAGCAGGGATTTCAATCAGGTCAGTTTCCACGGCTCCCACTCATGGAAATGAGGGAATATTTTAATCAAGCAATTAAATCAATTAAATCAATTAATTAATGAATTGTGAAGCACTTGAGGTCCATCCCAAGGAGCAGCCTGCAATTCCTGGGATCAATTTTTGGATGTTTTACCCCAAAAAATCAGCATTTTTTGGGTTATAAACACGCCTTGGCTCCGCCCGCTGCTGCTGCAGGCTCCTCTCTGCCTCCTTCAACATTTATGAGCCCTCATGAATATGCAAATGCAAGCTAATGGCTGCAGCCTGGTGCTGAGCCTGAGTGCTGAGTTAATATTTCATGTGAGGATGGGAACGGACCCGTACCCGTCAATTTGGGCTAAACATGGTTCTTCATTAATGAATCATTAATTAAAATGAGATGGTGATTGAATAGTGTATGCAAATGTCCAGTTTGGGATGGGCACATCTGCATAGTGTATGTTAATGTATGCAAATGTCCAGTTTGGGATGGCCACATCTGCATAGTGTATGCTAATGTCCAGTTTGGGATGGCCACATCTGCATAGTGTATGCTAATGTATGCTAATGTCCAGTTTGGGAGGGCCACATCTGCATAGTGTATGCTAATGTATGCTAATGACCCAATTTGGGATGGCCACATCTGCATAGTGTATGCTAATGTATGCTAATGTCCAGTTTGGCATGGCCACATCTGCATAGTGTATGCTAATGACCCGGTTTGGGATGGCCACATCTGCATAGTGTATGCTAATGAGACGGTGTGGGATGGCCACATCTGCATAGTGTATGCTAATGACCTGGTGTGGGATGGCCACATCTGCATAGTGTATGCTAATGTATGCTAATGTCCAGTTTGGGATGGCCACATCTGCATAGTGTATGCTAATGACCCAATGTGGGATGGCCACATCTGCATAGTGTATGCTAATGTATGCTAATGTCCAGTTTGGGATGGTCACATCTGCATAGTGTATGCTAATGTATGCTAATGTCCAGTTTGGGATGGCCACATCTGCATAGTGTATGCTAATGACCCGGTTTGGGATGGCCACATCTGCATAGTGTATGCTAATGTATGCTAATGTCCAGTTTGGGCTGGCCACATCTGCATAGTGTATGCTAATGACCCAATTTGGGATGGCCACATCTGCATAGTGTATGCTAATGTATGCTAATGTCCAGTTTGGGCTGGCCACATCTGCATAGTGTATGCTAATGACCCAATTTGGGATGGCCACATCTGCATAGTGTATGCTAATGTATGCTAATGTCCAGTTTGGGCTGGCCACATCTGCATAGTGTATGCTAATGTATGCTAATGTCCAGTTTGGGATGGCCACATCTGCATAGTGTATGCTAATGACCCAGTTTGGGATGGCCACATCTGCATAGTGTATGCTAATGTATGCTAATGTCCAGTTTGGGATGGCCACATCTGCATAGTGTATGCTAATGACCCGGTTTGGGATGGCCACATCTGCATAGTGTATGCTAATGTATGCTAATGACCCGGTTTGGGATGGCCACATCTGCATAGTGTATGCTAATGTATGCTAATGACCCGGTGTGGGATGGCCACATCTGCATAGTGTATGCTAATGTCCAGTTTGGGATGGCCACATCTGCATAGTGTATGCTAATGTATGCTAATGCCCAGTTTGGGATGGCCACATCTGCATAGTGTATGCTAATGTATGCTAATGTCCAGTTTGGGATGGCCACATCTGCATAGTGTATGCTAATGTATGCTAATGTCCAGTTTGGGATGGCCACATCTGCATAGTGTATGCTAATGTATGCTAATGTCCAGTTTGGCATGGCCACATCTGCATAGTGTATGCTAATGTATGCTAATGACCAATTTGGGATGGCCACATCTGCATAGTGTATGCTAATGTATGCTAATGACCCAGTTTGGGATGGCCACATCTGCATAGTGTATGCTAATGTATGCTAATGTCCAGTTTGGGATGGCCACATCTGCATAGTGTATGCTAATGTATGCTAATGACCCGGTTTGGGATGGCCACATCTGCATAGTGTATGCTAATGTATGCTAATGTCCAGTTTGGGATGGCCACATCTGCATAGTGTATGCAAATGTATGCTAATGTCCAGTTTGGGATGGCCACATCTGCATAGTGTATGCTAATGACCCAATTTGGGATGGCCACCTCTGCATAGTGTATGCTAATGTATGCTAATGTCCAGTTTGGGATGGCCACATCTGCATAGTGTATGCTAATGTATGCTAATGTCCAGTTTGGGATGGCCACATCTGCATAGTGTATGCTAATGTATGCTAATGTCCAGTTTGGGATGGCCACATCTGCATAGTGTATGCTAATGACCCAATTTGGGATGGCCACATCTGCATAGTGTATGCTAATGTATGCAAATGTCCAGTTTGGGATGGCCACATCTGCATAGTGTATGCTAATGTATGCTAATGTCCAGTTTGGGATGGCCACATCTGCATAGTGTATGCTAATGACCCGGTTTGGGATGGCCACATCTGCATAGTGTATGCTAATGTATGCTAATGTCCAGTTTGGGATGGCCACATCTGCATAGTGTATGCAAATGTATGCTAATGTCCAGTTTGGGATGGCCACATCTGCATAGTGTATGCTAATGACCCAATTTGGGATGGCCACCTCTGCATAGTGTATGCTAATGTATGCTAATGTCCAGTTTGGGATGGCCACATCTGCATAGTGTATGCTAATGTATGCTAATGTCCAGTTTGGGATGGCCACATCTGCATAGTGTATGCTAATGTATGCTAATGTCCAGTTTGGGATGGCCACATCTGCATAGTGTATGCTAATGACCCAATTTGGGATGGCCACATCTGCATAGTGTATGCTAATGTATGCAAATGTCCAGTTTGGGATGGCCACATCTGCATAGTGTATGCTAATGTATGCTAATGTCCAGTTTGGGATGGCCACATCTGCATAGTGTATGCTAATGACCCGGTGTGGGATGGCCACATCTGCATAGTGTATGCTAATGTATGCTAATGTCCAGTTTGGGATGGCCACATCTGCATAGTGTATGCTAATGACCCGGTGTGGGATGGCCACATCTGCATAGTGTATGCAAATTTCACAGTTTGGGATGGCCACATCTGCATAGTGTATGCTAATGACCCAATTTGGGATGGCCACATCTGCATAGTGTATGCTAATGTATGCTAATGTCCAGTTTGGGATGGCCACATCTGGAATTCGCAGGATTTGGGATCCTCAGGAAATTCCCTGGAATTCTCAGGATCTTCAGGGGAAAGAATTTTGGAATTTTTAGGGATATCCAGCCTGGAATTCTCATGGATATCCAGCCTGGAAACTTCTGGAATTCTCATGGATATCCAACCTGGAAACTTCTGGAATTTTTAGGGATATCCAGCCTGGAAAATGCTGGAATTCTCATGGATATCCAGCCTGGAAACTGTTGGGATTTTTAGGGATATCCAGCCTGGAAATTGCTGGAATTCTCATGGATATCCAGCCTGGAAACTGTTGGGATTTTTAGGGATATCCAGCCTGGAAACTTCTGGAATTTTTAGGAATATCCAACCTGGAAACTTCTGGAATTCTCATGGATATCCACCCTGGAAACTTCTGGAATTTTTAGGAATATCCAGCCTGGAAACTTCTGGAATTTTTAGGGATATCCAGCCTGGAATTCTCTGGAATATCCAGCCTGGAAACTGCTGGAATTTTTAGGAATATCCAGCCTGGAATTCTCATGGATATCCAGCCTGGAAACATCTGGGATTTTTAGGGATATCCAGCCTGGAATTCTCAGGGATATCCAGCCTGGAAACTGCTGGAATTCTCATGGATATCCAGCCTGGAAACTTCTGGAATTTTTAGGGATATCCAGCCTGGAAACTGCTGGAATTTTTAGGGATATCCAGCCTGGAATTCTCATGGATATCCAGCCTGGAAACTGCTGGAATTTTTAGGGATATCCAGCCTGGAAACTGCTGGAATTTTTAGGAATATCCAGCCTGGAATTCTCATGGATATCCAGCCTGGAAACTTCTGGAATTTTTAGGGATATCCAGCCTGGAAACTTCTGGAATTTTTAGGGATATCCAGCCTGGAAACTTCTGGAATTTTTAGGGATATCCAGCCTGGAATTCTCAGGGATATCCAGCCTGGAAACTGCTGGGATTTTTAGGGATATCCAGCCTGGAATTCTCAGGAATATCCAGCCTGGAAACTGCTGGAATTTTTAGGGATATCCAGCCTGGAAACTGTTGGGATTTTTAGGAATATCCAGCCTGGAAACTGCTGGAATTCTCATGGATATCCAGCCTGGAAACTTCTGGAATTTTTAGGGATATCCAGCCTGGAAACTTCTGGAATTTTTAGGGATATCCAGCC